GTTTTTCTGAAAACTCTGTTACACCTTATTTTGTAAATTCTATAACTCAGTCAAAATAAGTTCTGGAGGTCTAAAAATGTTTTCATAACCCCAGTTTTGGTCATAGAATCCGAATATGTGATAAAAACTATAGGTGAATAAATATCGGGTTACGGCTGTTTTGCGTTGTTCTCGGTACTGTTGCGAAATGTCTCTTAAGGCGTTTTACTCAGTTGTTGTTGTAAAAAAACAACAACGAGTTGTAACTAGTTGCATTACGTTAGATGGCTGTAGGATGTGTCTATAATAAGCAAATCATTGTATTTTTCAGATCCGGATCTATAGTCTGGTCTCGATAATCTCTTCTGTTATTATTGCTGAGACAGCAACAAGCGTCGTAATTGTTGGCTTTCGAAAACGTTCCATTCGTTTTGGTCCAACAAACCGACGTCGAGCTGACAATATCCAATAGAGGCCAGCAATTATTGTTATTCCAGAAATAACAACAATAGACCAATTCATATTTTGAGCTGTTATTGGATAATTGAATGGAAATAAAAGAATAACACTTGTTATAAATAACCACAATACGCTTAAGACGCCGATTGGTACACCGAATCGGCCTAAATTAAATTGTCCCAATAGAAATGTGTTTCTCGAATGTGTTATTCGAAATAGAATTGGTAACATATATGAAATTTGAAAGCCAATTGTTGATATTGAGACAATAGCTGCAAATGCTGTTGTTGAAAACAAATTTAACAACAATAATAAGACATTAACCATAAACACAAGAAGTACACATAATACTGGCGTTTGTGATCGTTTATAAAGAATTTTTAACCATCGACTACCCGGAAATACACTGTCGCGAGCCATTGCATAACCCGTTCGAGACGATACAGTTGTCGCTGACATGCCGGCAAAATACAAATTAATTATCAATAGAACCGTAAATAAAAGTGCTACTGGTAATGGTGTACTTATTTTATAGATTTGTACCGCTGCACTTGGATTCAATATATTTTGAACAAGATCTAATGGATTGTATGAAGCAAACATTAATGATAATAAATAAGCAAAGCCAATGACCGATGTACAAATACAGGTACCGAGTATACCAATTGGTGCAAATTTTTCTGCATTTCGGGTTTCTTCGCATAAATGTGAAGCTGCTTCGTAACCAGAAAAACCAAACAATGTTGGCAATATACCAATTAGGCAGACATAGGGGAAACTAAAGCCCGTTACATTTATCGTGGAAAAAAATACCACATGTGCTGATGCAAGACGTTTTGCTACAGCTACTATCGTGATTAAAATAGATATTGTACTCGATATTTGAACAACAGCAACCACAATTGTTCCGCACATACCACAGAATCGTCCAACATCTCCAGATAAACGTTGGATCAACTCCTGATGTTAGACCACCAAATAAAAGACGTCAGTCAGAAAGGAACAGCAAGAAGGGCTGAAACTGTATATTGAACTGGGATCATCGTCCTCATACTTGTATAACAATTTTGTTTTGCCATTAATATTCAATTTTTCTCGAAAAGATGGAACATTTGTACTTATGGCATGACTAATTGTTATGCAATTTTCATCATTTTGCGAAAGTTGCAGAATAAAGTTTTATAGCTCAGTTTTTAGAGAATTGATCGCTCTACAAAATGTGATGAATATTTCTGGGGGCATTTTTCATATAGGTCGAAATTTTTTAAGTTTCTTTGAAAAAAACGCTTTTTTCAAACAGCCATTTTGCAATTGATTGGCTAGCAGGACATTTAGTTTTCACTTGAAAAAAATCAAAGACATATGATTTTGTACAGTTTTTATCAGGCTTTCCAACAAGATGTTGCTGAAAGAGAATGGACAAAAAAATACCTGAGATACTGAGGATAGCAGTTTTTCTGAAAACTCTGTTACACCTTATTTTGTAAATTCTATAACTCAGTCAAAATAAGTTCTGGAGGTCTAAAAATGTTTTCATAACCCCAGTTTTGGTCATAGAATCCGAATATGTGATAAAAAACTATAGGTGAATAAATATCGGGTTACGGCATTTCTCACGGGGTTGGTGAAAACTCTCTTAAGCGACGATTTCTAAGAGCATCAAGCATAAGTGACAAATGACATAACTTGAGGAAGACTTTTCTATGTATACACCTTTTTCGGTTTAGGAAAAATTTTCTACTGAATGTTTGGTTATTAAACCCTTTTAGCTTTTGTAAAGTAGATACTAAGCCATTTTGGGTTTATTCCTATTGTTTCTAAATCCTTTCGGTTCTTCAAAATGCGCTTTTTTTTAGAGAGTACCTCCGAGTACTATTGTTAAAATGTAATCGTACGCTTTTTGTTTCATAGACTTTCCTTGTACATCGATGATGATTAAAAAAGTTTACCTGTGTGAACAAAAGCAATTAAATAACGAAACTATAGGTCATAATATTTCTTTTGCAGCACAGGTTAGTTATTAGTCTATAAAGTGAAAATAACAATTAGTAATAAAGTTTGTTTCGATAATAATCAATTATCTGATGTAATTTATAAAATAATTTGTACGCGTTTCGAATTCTTCTCCAGTAAATGCTCATGTTAAAGAACGATGGTTTACAGTTCAAGAAGTGGCTGTTTATACAGAGTTTGGTTCATGCAGATGGAGAAATAAGAGAGAAGTTTTTTGTTGCTTTTTGTCTCAATCTGTTATTGTATGTATAAGTTCATGCATATATCTTTTTCATGTGTTCCTTAGAAAAGTTTTAGAAAAGAAAATTTAATTAAAAATCGCTGTCATACTGCTGCTATCTGAAGAACAGATCTACACAAGTGAAGCTTTATTTCAAATGTTTATAAAGTTAATTAGCACCTAAACGAACGCTTATCTAGAACCGTAGAGGTTCGTGCAACGAAACAAATGCAGATGGCCAGGACATAGTTTGAAGTTCAAGTCATAAGACCTTATTGTTATCGGAGTCCAGGTCATATCATTCGACAATATCATTCGAAGAATGATATTTGTTGTAGAGAATAACCAGAATGTAACTATTTTTTTACTTTTTTCTGGTGTCGCTAATTATTAACCGCCGTAGAACAATAAACATGCAATGTTAGAAATAAAAGGCGAAACTATCTTTTATTCAATATAAGTTGGTTTAAGCTTTATTGATAGAGAAAAATAACTAATAAGACATGCAATCGGCCGTAGGGCCATTACAGCATGTTATACAATTGTATAAAAAGTAGATTAGCAGTGTAAAAGAAAGGGAGATAAGAGAAGAAGATCTGATAACAAAAATAGAAAAAAAAAAAATATACGTTACTGTAAGAATAACATTGTTTATATTCATTTTAATTAACTATTTATGGGAACTCGTTCATTTTTACAGATGTCATGGAATATATTAAATTTCACTAAAACAGTGAAATTACTATTAAGAAAAAAATTTAGTTTAGTTAGCTCATTTCTTTTTCTTCTTTTGATTTATTATGTAAGCGATGGCTTTTATTTAAAATTTCCTTTGAAACATGAACTTACCAAGTTCTTAGAACAACTGGAACTATTAAGATTCAAAGAATCCATTCCATATACTCCATGTCCATCCAAAACAAGTAATCATTTCTCTTTACATCATGTTCATCGATTTCTAAAAATAAACGAAACTGAAATTGCTCTCATACAATCAAACGATGTCAACTTCTCGCTGAAGTATTCGAAAAATCCCAGATGTCACAGTAGTAATTATGAATAATAATGAAAGTATAGAAAACTGGAAGTGGTTTACACATTCCATTAATTCACGAGCTATATTACAATCACGATTTAAACATGTAAGGTGGTCACTAAACATTTATCTATGATGACAATATTTTAGAGAGGGATGAGGGTCACGACAAGGGCAAAGTTTACCGACGCTGCAGTATGGTATGTATTTGACAATTTATCTGCTATTTTGGGCATTTTGATTATTATAAATCTGCTTCAGTTAATCTTTCTTGATACGATAGAAAGATAAAAATGTAGACCAAACTATTGTCTATACAGGATAAAATATCTCACAGAGGCTATCTCACGGAGGTTACTTTTTCATATTTAGAAAATGCAGGTGTTACCAAACGACGAAAAGCAGTATCTATATTCAGTTAAATTGATGCTCGTGTAAGAAATACTCAATCAATGAAATTGTGGAGAGAAATTGTCGCGAATGGAACGACATTCGAAAAAAACAATAAATTGTGGACCGAAAGAGGTTTCAGCGCGTGTCAGTCATGATGAATTGTTTCCTCAGAGTTTCAAGCCTACAATTCGTATAGATCAAGATATACAAAGTTTTCAACTTATTGTGCAAATTTTAACTCCCTATAAAAGCGTTTTGTTGTTCAGTAAAATTCTGAAAAGACGATGTTGAAAAGATTCAATATATTCACAGGATTGATCACGCTTATGTTATAATTGTCATATTGTTAGATGCATTACAGATAGACTTTTCAGCTCTTCAGTTCATTAAATACTCAAGCTATGTGATATTGTAATATTACTCATTTATTTCCACAAAATCGGCTGAACAAAAGAAGAATGCAAACAACCAGACTACTGTCTACTATAAATTGCCATCAATTTTAGAGGAAAAGATTATAAAAAGCCTATTACACAGCAATTGTTTCTGCCCCTTTTACATACTTAATAACTATTAACAATTGTGCATTTAAATATACTCGAATCAAGTCTTTTATTTATTTTGAATGAGTGAGATAGTTGATACTGAGCGATGTCTGTTACATGCATTATATAAGCAACAGGATACAGGTATCGCGAGCTCTTTGAGGTACTCCTATAGCAGAAGTTTCTCTTTTTACTATCATCCCACTACGTTTCTGTTTATCTGTGGTTTTTGTTATTTGAAGTAGAATCTGAGGCACTCTATGTTTTGAGACTCACAGGCAGAAAATAAGAGATTTCAGGTGTCTCAGGAAGTCTGGTATAACTTAGAAACGAATAATAATGGAGGTTTAGGTGGATGTATAGCGTAGAGTCTGACAGTTCGCATCCACCTATGTAATTCAATTGGAATTTTTGGAATGGGAGACAAGCAATTTTCTATGGGATCCATGTGATCCATGCATTATCGCATTACGAATAACTGAAGCATATTAATTCAAAATATTCAACAGAAGAATGATCGAGAACATCGAAAATTTTTAGTCTAGGATATGGTAGAAATTTCTCTACAAATTTGATGGTTATCCTCTTAACTGAATGCAAAGGTTAGTTTTAGAAATATTTATTTACATATTTGTTATAAATATAAAAATATCAATCCTTTAAAAGTTTAATACAAGAGAAAAACATACGTACGAAAGTACTATAGCAAAATATTTTCTTTTGCACTTTATTGCCGCTGATTATTTTAAGAGAGGTAACAATCTATATAAAAAAAAGAGTTGAAAGATGAGAAGAAAAGATATCGACATAAAGGGTGTCCTATAATAACTGAGGATAAATTGAACGATATTATTGGCAATTTATCCTCCGTTATTATGGGGCATCCTTTACCAAGTCTTTTTCCTATTCTCAACCAAATCTATCATGCGAGATGTGCTAAATACCTAGAATATCTGAATGTCATCTCCAGGGTGGTTTCACATGTACCCTCTTAAGGTTAGGTCAAGTCAAGTGATGTGGAAATCCAAATTTATGTGTATGCTGATTGTAACAAAGCGTGGCTTGACGGACTGTTTTATCAAGGCATGATTTATAGATCAGAGTTTATGTAGTATGTACTTGTGGCTACAACTTACGAGAGATCGATGTTTGGATTTATGCGTTAATGGGTTCTGATAGGCTGCATTAGTCCAAACCTTAAAAAATCAGATACAAAATTTTCAGAAAATCTTCGCTTTAGCAAAAACAGACAAAAATTCAATAATTGGGGTTTATACGTTTAATTCGTAAGGCTCAGCATCACCATGCGCTTATCGTGAAATCGATATTGTTGATAAGAATTTTCATTTTTAAGGGGAGCTCTTAGAATATCGGACCCGTGAGATTTCCCACACTCAATATCCAGAACTTGAATATCACTGATGTTTATTTCACAAAGCCGAAGCTGTCATTTACGATCTACAATCATCAACTTTACAATAAAAAGAAACTTCTATGTTTATATGAACAAAAACAAAAGCATGAATAAGTGAGTTAACAGTGAAACGAAAATTTACACTTTTCAACCAATTCATTTCCTCTCTTGTTGTTATACATATTCCATTTTATAAGTGAATATCCAGCTACTAGTAAATAATTCTGAATATCCCGGCAAGTAAAGCTCGTCTACAAGGCACACTGGGTACTCAGATAAACAATTCATCGGAAAATAGATAGTCGAAAAACTTTGCCGAAAGTTCATATTGACTCATAGTGTCACTTTTAACAATTTATTAAATATTTTCAAAAGCACTATGAAGAACAAACTATCATCTTTCAGACCCTTTATGCACAAAAGTACTTTTGCATGAGCTTAAACTTCAACAGAATTCTGGTCTGTTAAATGTTTTGCTGCCGATCACTATCCACAAATACAGTCAGACAGATATCGAAGCTCCGTAGAAGTTTAAACCACAAAAAATCACGGAAAAATATGCCACTTTTCACTAAATCGTAACAGTATGAAGAACGTTTCGTTTCCCGAAGTAAAACGGTGTTTGAGAAAACCACCGGTTAACAACAATAATTCCGTTCATCTACTTCGCGAGTACATTGCTGACGTATTTTGAAATGTAGCTACAATATAATAGCTACAATATATTTGTTACCAATAAAGGTTCCATCCATATTCAGCCTATTTTTGAAACTTGTCAACATACGGATACGGGTTCTCAGGGTGTGTCCGAGTATCCTGATTTGGAAGCGGACTTTACTGTCCACTTCGGTAAGGATTCCGAATTGAGTAGCGACTCCGTCGTCCATTCCAAGGATGCCGAGCTCAAACCTGGATTCTCGTCGATTATTCGACAGTCGGATTAGTTTGTAATGAAAATCAACTCTCTTTGATAGTTTAAACATTTTGATGGGACATATATGGCCTAGAAAGATTAGTTCGCCGACCTTCTTTTTGCGAGCAGTGGGAAAGACCATTATCTTCTTTCAGACAAGTTGAAGTTGGAAAGATTCTTTTTCTTTCTATTATGGTATAGTGTAGTACTAAGACACAGAGAACAGACGAATAAAATAGGAGAAAAAAAGCTTGATTAATTACACTATAAGACCCCCTCCCCACAGTGTCTTAGCCCGAGAAGATTTGATTTGAATCAAACTTTCAGTGAATGTTGACTATGTCAAACCCATGAGGGCTTTTTCGATAAGTTTATCGCGATAAACAATTTTTTTATCCACCCGTCATCCATTTTCTAGTATTTATCGAAAGGAAAAATTCATCTCAATGAAGAACTTTTTCATCACAAAAATCTATTTTATCCCGATACCTGTCAATAAATATATCCTGTTACAATTTGCTATGATTTATCGCGATGAATTTTTCCTTTCGATAAATACTGGAAAAATGGGTGACGGATGAACAAAAATATCATTTATCGCCATAGAAAGCAATAAACGAAGTATTGTTACAAATGACTCTTATAGTTTTTCGACCATTTGTTTGAATACAAGAATCATTGCGACGAACTGCTTATTGATGATAAGCAAGCTACTGTTCTTACCTTGGCGACCACAACCAAGACGGCATAATAGCAGACCAATATAAGGGAAAAAGAGATACTCCATCAAATTTTCGTCGTGACTACACTATTTGCTATTCGTTTTTCACGAAAGTAGAAGCAACCATCTCTACAACTGTGTATAGCAAACCCGGAATAAAATGAAATATTCTGCAGTAGCTGGGAAATAGCGACCGGAATATATTTTGAAACGTTCTCTAAGCACATTCTGGGAATTTTCGAGTGTCTTAAAAAAACACTGGTTTTCTTTAATATAAAAACAAAGTTTTTCGTTTAATTTGTTGATTTAAACCGTTTATTTAAAAAGAAATGAACAAAAAGAAAATAAGACCAATCAAGTGATATCGTCGTCCTGAGAACTACATTAAACCACATTCTTTCCTTGGATAGTTAGGCAGTGGAATGAGTTACCTGTTGAATTGTATCAAACTGCTAAATTGGCTCGGTTTCGCACAAAGATACATGACTTTCTACACCCATATTACAAATGGCCACGGTTCAAACACGTTGACCGAAAGCACGAAATGCTTTTTAGTCAAATGCGTATTGAATTCTCTCGATTGAATTCTGATTTGTATATTAGGCACTTCGTAAATAATCAGTATTGCGCACGCGACAAAGTAGAAACAGTCATATACTTTCTCTTGGAATGTTCACACTATCGCCATTTGCGATCTAAGTTCAAAAATGACTAGCAGAATATAGCACCTGGGTTATCCTTTACACTTAAACACATTTTACTATTAGAAAAACTAGATAACATTGCTGACTTTACAATTACCCAGCTACATAAAATAATGGTAGAATATATCAAAAGTACCCAACGTTTCTGAGTACTACTTACCTCACTTCGGTTTTCTGAGACATACCACCACTCTCTCATGCACCTGCTTTTCTTCATCGTTCATTTCTTCGCTTTCAAATGCATCTTTTCCCTCTTTTCGTTTTTCTTTTTCTGTACAATGTAGCATCGACAAAACAAAAAGATATAAGGGGTTCGCCTCTTTCTTCTCGTTCTGTTCTGTTTCATTCTTTTTTTTGTACGCTACATTATACTTATCAAATAAAGCTTATACTAACTACATTGCATCTTCTGAGAGGATTCTTTAAACAGATGAAAAAACAGAAGAAAAGCACTTGATATTGGCATTTTAGAATGAGGGAGTAGATCAGTTAAATCTGTAAAAGTGAAAAAGTAGAGAACGTAGCCTATTAGAAACGTTTACTGGCAGTAATAAATTACCCACAAACTGATACACGGATATTAAGAGATTCTTGGATAAATGTGTTCTAAGAAGAAACTAGTGTCATAGGCGTACACACTAAAAATGAAATTCAAGATCCTCTCGTAAATCATTATTTTCAGTGGGTAGTGATGTATTCATATCAGTTCTACGATGACAAAATTTTAAAAGACTTAATCAAGGAGGTGTCGCCTTACGTGGACAAACTACATGATGCTCTTATGCATATGGACAGCAGTATAAACAGCAAAGCAAGATAAGTTATATTATTGTTGTTCGTATGTTCACGGTGATAAATTAAGATTAAAGCAGATTGATGAATTTGATTTGATATATCAATCAAGTAATTGAAATCCATTAGATGGTATACAAAAAAATATTTTCCAATTGATTTTGTTCAAAAATAAAAAGTGTTAAGACATCTCACCTGTATTTATTTAAAGTAAACAGTATATTAGACATTAAAAGTAATAGAATAAAGTTTCGACCACATTTGAAGAAAAGCTACTTTTAAACTGATCGAAAGTTTCTAGACACTCTTTTTCGAGCAAATCTTTTGATGTGTAATGTATTGTTTACTTTTAACAAATAGTGAAGGTGAGAGAATTAGAAGAAATTGACTGAAGTGCTCGTAAAATTCTAATAGGTATTTACTTTGAACTAAAAGAAGTCACAGTGAATATTATTATTTTTTGTTTACTTATTGATTTATAGTATTTGTATGGATTGTCGAATGAAATTCTCTTTCTTCCTCTTATTTTTTCTTACCTTGATTCTCAGTTAATGCAGAAATGTATTTTTTCGAAACAACGAAGGTATTTTTATAATAAAAGATGGAATATGCACGTTGAAGGTGTCTTAATTATCTGATATGGATAAAGACACGGATAAAAATATATCGAATGTAAACATTGACAAGTTATTGCTGGAAGTAAGATTCTTTAAAATGTTCTAACAGTTTTTCTAGATATGCTGTTGATATATAGGCTGTGTTAGAGACAGATTCGGGTGAAGCAAAGAAAAAACGGAATAAATTTGATGAATCTATACTTGGCTATAAATTTAAGACAAAGCAATTGATATTAAACAAGTTAGATGCCCAAAATTATTCAGCATTACACTATGCCGTTTTAAATAATAATGTCCATTCAATCGGTAAACTACTTCGTTTTGCACATCGGAATAATCAAGAATCCAAACCATTATTCTCATCATTTATTCCAAAAAAAATTGATCATACTCGATGTTTAGATATTAATATTATCGGTGGCGAGGGGAAAACGCCGCTACACCATGCAGCAAGTAAAAAAGAGGTCGACAAACAATCAATAGAGTTTTTGGATGCACTTGTACCAGTCGGTCGGCGCTGGTCCACAGTAACAACCGCCCTGGATCCGCGTAGAAAAACATCGACTGCCGCAGATGAACGTACACCGGTTAGTATTAGAGTGATATCTCCCGTAGGCAACCGAACTCACGGCAATTCTATAAGGATCTTGCATAAGGCAGTCGATGGAAATGCGTAAGATTTTGATAAATTAACATATGAATGAATACAAGAATCTTATAAGCTTCCTATAAGAATTCGGCAAGACAGATTACACAATTAGTTTAGAAGGATTGATAAGATAAGTTATCATATGACTTTTATTTACGCCAATTGAAGCGTCTACCTGTATGGAGACTGAACGAGTAACCCAGCATCGTATAGGATCCTGACGATGAAAATCCTATAACAGGCAAACACCAATCAAGACCAGTGTCTGAACTTGAGACGTGCAATACTGTTCCAGTTAAAGCAATTGGATTTATCCATAGTGAAAACGAATATGCTTGATTCT